CCTCCAGCAGCCAGGAGTCGCTGCGCCCCCCAGCGGCTGCAGCGGCTCTGGGATCGCGGCCCTCGCGCATCGAGGCGCTGCGACTGCGCCTCCGCGGCACGGCCGACGACATGCTGGCTGTGCGGCTGCGGCGGCCGTTGTCGCCCGAGACGCGGCGGCGCCGGAGCAGCTGGCGCCGCCACACGGTGGTGGTGCAGAGCCCGCTGACTGACCTCAACTTCAATGAGTGGAAGGAGCTAGGCGGCGGGGGCACCCCGGAGCCCGCGAGCCCTCGGGCTCACAGTGACAACAAGGACTCGGGCCTCAGCAGCCTGGAGTCCACCAAGGCGCGGGCCTCGTCGTCCGCCGCTTCGCTACCGCCCGCGCTGGGGGAGCTGGGGCCTTTGCAGAGCCAGCCTCCGCGCCGCTCGGCTGCCGCCCGCCTCCACCAGTGCCTGTGACCCGCGCGGCTCGGGCCCCAGCCCTCCCTGGAGCCCCTAGGGAACGAGCAACTCTCCTCTGGCTAGCACCCCTCACACGCACACACACCCGCTGCTTCTGTAGCCCCTCGGTGCGTTGGCGAGGGTGCTGCCGGCCGCATCTCGAGTTTGTGCGCTGGAGTTGTTGGGGTGAGCAGAGCAGAAGGCAGGCTGGACGAAGGTGGGTGTGGGAACTGTGGAGAGAGAAGAGAGGGGATGGGCCCACGCAGCGCAGTGCTGTTGGGGGTCCCCTGGATTGGTGGGTGACAGAGTATGCCCTCCTGGGACGTTCTGTGTCTGCATTTTGGGACCCCTGTCCACCATGGGGTGTGGGTAGTGAGCACCCAAGGTTCAGAGTAAAAGACACTGGGTATTGCTGGTTGTTCAGGTCTTTCCTCTGCCTGCTCTGTCCCTAGGAGCTAAAGGGGTGGGTGGTATATGTGGCTGGGGAGAGGTGGTGTTGGGTGGTGGTGCTCCTGGGGAAGGGGGGCCTGTGTGTGCGAGTGTGTGTGTAGTCACTGCCCAGAGGTGTTTCCAATAGCCACTTCTTCCACTCCTGTTCCTTCATTCTCCCCACCCTCCCAGAGTCCCCACCAATTGATGATGCACTTGGGGGTTCTGTCCCCTGCTGTTTGTCAGGTGAGCCAGAAAAGGGGGTGGGGTCACTTCTCAGAGGCAGGAATGGCTACTTTGCCCCTCTCCTGTCCTTTTACCAACCCCGAAACCACCTCCCAAGGGCTTTGACTTAAGGGGAGCTGCCTGTTCCCCCATTTGGGGAGTGTGCAGGGTCCCCCTGCTGGTACCTCCCTCACCTCTCTTTTCTTCCAGCTGTGCCCCCTGTGCTTCCACAACTCAGGCACACAGACCCCTGATTCTCTCTCCCCTTAGGAACTGGGAGTCATAAACACCACTGATATCTCTCTCTCTCTCTGTGTCTCGGCCTCTGTCTCTCTCTCACACACACACACACATACACACACAAAAAAAGATACATGGGGTCTGAGCTGGAATGTTCCTTCAGGATGAGTGGAACCCAGCTCCCTCCCCTCCCAAGACATTGTAAATAAATCACAGATCACCTGGCCACCCGCCACACACCCTCACTCATTCCAGGGAAGCCTGTGTGGGGTTGTGAACCCCTCACTGCCACGTCTGTCAGTCCTCTTGTCTGCAAAGATTTGCTGTAAAGTAGATTTCTCTCTCCTGCCTTCCCCCTCCTTTTACTGTAAATATTATCTCTAAATGTGTAACATATTATAAAGAATTTATAAGGATTTTTAAAGATGTTTTACTCATTTAAAAAAAAAAAGTGCTGTAACAGTGTTGGGTAAAGCCTGCCTGCCCCACGTCTGCATGTCTCCTTCACAGTGTCCCTGACACACCTCTCTAGGCCACAGCTAAGATGTCCTGCTTCTGAAAAGTCCTGTCTTACAAGTACAGTCTATATCTTGGAAATAAATGGCCTTCTTTGAGGCATGAATACTCTGTGTCACTTGTTTTGGAGGGAGGAGAGGGCCAGAGCAGGGCTGGGATGGGAGAGGAACAAGGTACCTGGTCCAGAAAGGTGGGCAGCAGGGGCTGGACCAGGCGGTGGCAGGCAGAGGACCAGGCCATGGCAGGTGGGGGCAAGTCTCTTCCTCCTGGCAGCTTTGTAGGTGTCCTGTTGTTGTTTTGTGCCCTCGAGTCAGACCTGACTCATAGCAACCCCTCTTTGGGTTTCCGAGGTGGTATCACTACAGAAGTAGATTGCCCTATCTTCCTTCCAAGGAGTGGCTGGTGGGTTTGAACCGCCAGCCTTCTGGTTAGCAGTCAAGTGCCTTAGGCACTACACTACCAGAGCTCCTAGGAGACTAATATGAGCAATGACACAGGTCAGAATTCAGGCTGCAAGGGCAGTGACCTTCATTGCTGGGGGAGACAAAGGTGTATGTGCACCTGCTCTCAGTAAACCTACAGAGGCCAGACAGGTGCATAGGGTCCTGCCTTCTCAGGCCTGGCTGGGATCCTGAGTTTGCTTCAGAATGGTCTCAGAGGCCCCAAAACCTTGCTAAGATGAGGTGCTATCAAGCAGACAGGGGTTTGGGCAGGGCTTTTGCATGAGGGGGCTACCCTGGTTAACCGGCATCATAGGCACTCCAGGCCCAGAAGATATCTCAAAGGACAGCATGGGTGTTGCCCATTGTGTTATTCACATATGTAAGCTTAGAACAAGGGGTAAGCCCCTTCCTGTGTCATGGCTCCATAGTTGCCCTTCCATCTTCCAGGCTGCCCCTGATGAGCCTGCATCCATCTGTAGGAAGAGTAAGTGACAGTTTTCAAAGAGAAGCTGGGGAGGAGCCCTGGAGCTGAGAAGAGCTCAGTCACTAACTGCCCCCTTTCTCCAGGTTTTTGTTTGGCAAATAAGCTAAGAACTATTGGACTTCTCCATGATACCAATAATAACTAGTGTGAGTGTATGGTCAGAATAATAATAACTAGTGTGAATGTGTGTTCAGCACCAGCCCCAAGGGCTTTACATGTCTTAACAATCTTCCAACACTCCTTTGAGCTCCATACTATTGTAAACTCCATTTTATACAAGAAGAACAGAGAGGGTAAGTAACTTGCCCATGACCATACAGCTAGTAAGTGGTGGAAGCAGAGTAAATCTAAGCCCAGGAAAAGGGCACAAACAGAACTCAGAATGAATCTTGTAACTAAGACCACCTGACCATCAGCTAAACCAAAAAACCAAACTCACTGCCGTCAAGTCAGTCCCGACTCATAGCAACCCCTCCTTGGGTTTCCAAGGAGGTCTCACAATGGAAGTAGATTTGCTGAGAGAAAAATTTAAATGAAACGACTCCACTGGACAGCAACTGGTTTTATTGAGAAAGGTAAGTCACCGGTTTGGGGGTTTGAATTCTGGCTCTATTACTTAATAGCTGTGTATCTCAGACTCAGTTTTCCCTTCCCCCATCCATGCTGTCGTTCATGTTAAATGAGTCCAGGTATTGGTCATTTATTCAAAACAAAACAAAACAACAGTTACTGTTGAGCTGATTCCAACTCATGGTGATTCCATGGGTGTCAGAGTAGAACTGGGTTTTTGTTTTTGTTCTTGTTTTTGAATTTTTAGTTTTATTGTGATTTGGGTGAAAGTTTACATACAAAGCAAATTTATTTTCCATATAGCAGTTCATACACATTTTGTTTCATGACATTGACCGCCAATCCCCCACAAACAACGTAACAGCTCTCTTCCCACTTCTTCCCTGTAGTAACCTCTTCCCTGTGTCCTTCTTTCCTATGTATTCCTGCCCCTGGGCTATCTCCCTGTGCGAATACTGCCCTTCTGTTTTCCCAAGATTGATCCTTCTAAGGAGTGTATCTACCTGATGTAAATTTTCACCCTCTACGCCCATCTGTTGTTCAGCTGGAAGCCACAGGAGTGAGTTCCATTCCAGACCTGAAGGGTTACTAGGGGCCATAGTCTCAGGGGTCTCACCAGGCTCTATCAGACCAGTAAACCTAGTCTCTTTTTTTATGAGTTTCAGTTTTGTTCCACATTGTTCTCCCACTCTATCCAGGATCTGCCTTATCCAGTGGTTGACAATGGTAGCCAGGCACCACCTGGTTTTTCTGGTCTCCTGGTCACGTAGGCTGAGGTTCAAATGGTCCACTAGTCCCCTGGACTAATTGTTTCCATTTGTCTTTGGTTTTCTTCAGTCTTCTTTGCTCTGGACGAGGCGAGACCCACTGTTGCATCTAGATGGCTGCTTGCAAGCTTTTAAGACCCCAGTCGCTACTCACCAAAGTAGGATGTGGAACAATGTTTTTGTGTAGCATGTTATGTCAATTGAGTTTGATGTCCCCTGTGACCATGGTTCCGAGCCCACAGGTCTAACTACTTACTCCTCAGGGTGGTTGGCTGTGGCCAAGAAGTTACCGTAACATTGCCCCTTGTTAGCTCTATTACATATATGGACATTCTTACAGAATGTACAAATATATATGTAGAAATACCGTCTGCCAGCCTTACATATGGTCATAGGTATGTTCCCTTTTGCTTAGACATACCTGATGGTTCAGCCTGCTTATCCATCTATTTACCATTGATTAGTGTTTGTTGTCACTGATATCCATAGGGATTTCAAAAGCTAGTTTTTCAGAAGTAGATCATTAGGCCTTTCTTCTAAGGCACTACTAGGTGGATGCAATCCTCCTCCGTTTGGGTTAGCAGCTAAGTTTCCATTACCTGCCCCTAAAATGATTGCTCTGCACACACCTCTGCCCATCCCATCCCTGTCTCTTTACACTGCAGCCAGAGAAGTATCTTCTTTTTCTTTTTCTTTTTACAGTGTTTTCTCCCCTCTCCCACCCCTGGCAGAAGTATCTTCTTAAGTAGTTAAGTTAGCCAATGCCATTTCCTTGCTTAAAGTCCTTCCCCAATTGTTCTCCACAGCTCAGAGAAGGAACCCATCCTCTTCGCTACAGCCCTCAAGGCCTCACGGGATGGGGCTTCTGGCTAACTTCACACATGCCCTCTTTCCCTTCCTCATTCCATTAGGTTTTGTTCATTTTCTAGAATGTGCTCTTTCCTCTGCCACAACACTTGCCCACCAGCTCTCGCAGAGTCCCTCCTCATTCTCAAGGTCTCCACTCAAATGTGACATCATTGTGTCTGAGGTGGGTCCCCCTCCCATTACGCTGCCGCAGCTGTCACCGGCCTGTTTCCTTCCTGGCAGTAGTCACTGTCTGGGATGATTTCCGCAAAGGTATCTGTGTTCTTGTTTTTGGCTGGCTCCGCTGCTAGACTGAGACACAGTCCCAGGGAGTAGCTGAGCAGCCCCCAACAAGTAGACACTCAGTACATAGTTGAAGATGAATGAAACGCCTGGCATAGCTCCTGGCGTGCAGTTGATGGTCCCATTTGTTACTAGATCTTGAACTGCCATTGAATGGGGTAATTCTGGGAAATGAGGGGATTTTTGGCTACTCTC